ACAAAGTGTCCTAGAAAGATTTAGAGTATTTTTCCAAATATGAGGGAAGAGGCACAGATCGAGACTTACATGGCAGAAGCATATGTTAGAATATCTACTGACATTTCAATACCAATTCTGGAAAAATACACATTGTCACTGTTATGCATTGGTGAAGTGATACTTTGAAAAATACAGCGTATCATAAGAGGTCTCACCATCTTCTCTTTCATTTTCCAAGGGAGGAGCCTCGTTTTCAGGTTCCCTTTCAACTTCTTACCTCCCTTATGGATATCGATGTGCTCATGACCAAATGGAGATGTGAGTTTCACTTTTTGACTGTGACACTTTCTTTTAGATGCAAGTAAACTGTTCTGTTTCACCCTCTTTTAGACAAGTTATACCCAGAGTTTTAGAATTGAGCTTCTCAGTTCATTCAACCTTAATGATTCTATGATTCCATGAATTGCAGCCAAGAGAAAAGATGACCAGCTGCTTCTGTGATCGTTAGATACATAGGTATAGCTATCACTTCTACGACATGCTTTCAGTTAGGTGAACAATTTTATTTAAGGGACAGGTATATATTTTCCCATGTCTGCCAAAACATTGTGACAACTCTTCATGTGCAAACATTCCTTCTGCTCCTTCCCTATCTAGACATCCATAAATGAATGTATTAATTCTGTATTAACAGAGCATAACAATGTATAATAATTAGTGTATTCAGTCTGTATTAACAATAATTTTATATTAGTTGACTGAAGAGTGGCGTAATTAACTCCTGCATTGCTGAAGACCTAGTAGTTCTGTATCCCTGTAAAGACCTCTGTATGATCTTTAATATTTCACTGAAGGCACCTTGATGTGACCCTTTGGTTATATCCTAACACTGAACACATGCCATGTCCTTCTTTTGTATTGCTTAGATAACCACGTCTGCATGGTGCACAGAATGATTGGCAGCAAGTCGGGCACCGGAGGCTCGTCAGGCTACCAGTATTTGCGCTCCACAGTGAGGTAAGAATAACGCATTTCCCCCATTACCTGCAATAATGCAGTTTGTAGACACTGTACTGCCTGGAGACAGATTTCAGACAGCTCGTTGGAGGCCAGAGGGCCGTTGTTTCTCTTTTGGGACTCTAGCATTTCCTCCTGGCTGTTGAACATTTACTCATCAGGTTGACATATATAGATTCCAAGCCTTTGGGGGCAAAAAGAACTTCTTTTCATCGCTCATGCAAAGTGCCATTTATAATTCTCAGTCAAGGGATGTAGGCCTTACTGTAATAGCGATAATATTAATCCTGCATCGTTTGTGTGCAAGCTAGGCCAAGTTAAGGAGGTGATACAGGCTGGAAGTGAGTCCTGTCTACTGTGCAACTGATGGCAGTAGTTCCTTTATTCCTCAGCATGACTGCTAATCGGATAACCTAAGGTACTTCCATTTAGGGTGGAGTATTTTCCTAAAGGTGATAGTAATTAATACTCTCAAGCTGTGCAAGCAACAATCAGAAACATGCTGTTGGATGAAGCAGAAAAGGAATTTAAAAAGGACAGTTGGGGCCTGAGCACAGAACTCTCTGATGAACAGGAAGAGCTTTTTTTTTACACCAAATTTGTGGATTCAGCTAGTTAGACAATTCAAGATTTTTAGCTGCCACTATGTCCTGATAGTCCTGAACCACATTATGTCAAAAAGCACAAGGATATTTAAAACAGATTCTTCCAAGAGGGCCATCCTTGAGGTTTGTTTTCAAAGAGAAACTGGTAGCTGGTAGCTGCCATGTATGGCTGGGCGCAACGATTCCCATGACAGCCATCGTTAACAGAGGGTGGAATAGAAAGCAGACGGTTAGACTGAATTCAAAGATTACACGTTCACTGTCTTTTGCAGCAAGTCTTCTCACTCTTCCTTAATTCCAGGTTAACGTTATTCCTAGATAAATGCTACTTTTTATCTACCACAATAGTGGAGGTCTGGAGATTATAGCCTACATACTTTGCGTTTTCAGAAGAAAGATGTGACTATAGCAACCATGTTTCCGTTTTAAGTCTAATCTGCTGTGCCCTAGAAACAGCTAGGATTGGGTTCTTACTCTGGAATATTCAGGAGGAGGGTTAGTGCAGAAACCTTATTAAATACATAAAAGAGATGGAATGATTCCTGAGGGTTTTGAAATTATGGCCTTCTATGCCAATATGGCAGTATTAATTGCTCCTGATTGTCTTTTTCAGCGACAGATACAAGGTGTTTGTGGATTTGTTCAATCTTTCAACGTTTCTAGTGCCAAGACACTGGATACCAAAGATGAACCCAAACATTCATAAATTCCTTTATACGGCAGAATACTGTGACAGCTCCTACTTTAGCAGCGACGACTCTGACTAGCTTGCCTTTCTAGACTGGTTGCTGTAAAGAACTTCAGGACTTTCACCTCGAGTGGTGCTATCCCTCAAATACAACAGCTATTCTCATGCAGTGTGGGTGTGTAAATATGTATTTATGTATGACAGCTATGTGAATAGTGTGATCGGTTTATGGAAGAAACTTAATTGTTTGTAGAAAAAATAATCTGTATCAAGTTAGCCTATATAAAGACTAAAAGGATACCCCAATTCAACTCAATGACCAATTTAACTCTTAGTTGGCTTCTTAAAACCTACACCTAGAGAGAGGGAGCAAATTATACAGAATTATCATGATCATTTGTACATATTTTTGTATTTGTTTGTTTGGCTAATGGCTGTTAGTAATTTACTACTTCTAGTTGAGGATGTAATTAGTCTCATCACCTTCAGAAGAGCATTAGTTTCTGAGCTCTAGTGGAATTTCAACAGGAATTCTGGGTTAAAAGTTTCAAAAGCTAGATTTAAAAAACTATTAAGTCCTGAATCTATAGACACCCCAGCCTCTTGAACTTTTACATACATCAAGAATAATGTTGCTATCTATGTGTTGTTACACATGCATGTAAATCCCTTCAGTAGAAATATTTACTAAGAATAGCAAGTATAAATAAGTACTTACTTTGCACTTCAAATAAAGCAGTATTAAAGCTCTTCTTTTGTTAAGACTTCTTCTAAAGCAAGCATAAAGTTCAAACAACATTATCACAGGCATTTAAAGTGTTTTTTTTATTCAAAATATCATTGAAATAACAATAAAATTGATACATAATAAAAGCAAGGCAAATTTGGCCATAGCACATTGATGAAGCTGCATTGTCTTCTCATTAGATGGACTCTCGTCTTTTTAAATGCTTCCCTTGGAAATACACATATGCTGTAGGCCTGAATTTCTGCTGATTTGCTCTGTATCTTAGCGCTTTAAGTACTTACACCTGGTAGTACCACCTCAAAAACACCGGTGGCCTGCCTGTGTTTGACACTACTACAACAACATTACTCTTCTCAGTGGCAATTAGGAACTTTAGCTATTGTTTTCCAGTTACGAAGTGTGCTATTTGTTGTTTGTAAACTGCTAAGGGCAGGCCATGCTACAGAAGACTCTAAGACTACAGAAGACTTCCCCTTTTGTTAATCTGAAGCTTTCGGCCAGTAAATTCAGTCAGTAGCAAAACCTGAAATAGTGAAACGTAGCACTTGATCTTCCTTTCATTTTAAATATTAACACTTAGAAGTAGAAGGACTAAGATGACGATGCTTACAATTGACAATTATGATTGCATTTGTCATAAAAAGATAATAATACACTGATCTATTAACATGGTACAGTAATTGAGTGCAAAAATTACAGAACTGCTTCAATACTTTTCATAGTAGTGCTTCATAAAAGATTACAGGTAAAGCATTCCAGATGAAAGATTCAGAGCGTTTTAGGATGACACGTTTGGTTGTGAATTCCAGTTACACTTGCCTGCAAGTGCAGTTTTACAGGTCAGCAAAGCTGGAGCCACCTTTTAATTCTCAGGAAGTCCCACCTATGAATTCAATTAATGTAGGGAGATTTAACATCCACTCTATTTGGAGTATTCTGCAATTGCTGACTTTCTAAAGGTGGCAAATACATATATTAACAACCCCCACCTTCACAATTTTTTCTATAATAAGCAAGTTTTTCAATTTCTGCTTTGCAACTGGCTTCACTGTTCGTTGTGAAGTAGAGAAGAGAGAAGGCATGGAACTGACACAGCTCTCAAAGCACGGAAAGGCTGATTTGCAAACGCATACGTCCTGCCAGGACACAGGATGTTAAACCACTAGAACTGCCTCGGTTTGTCTAAATAAATACAGTTACTTCTTACTTTTCTCTCCATCTAACAAATTAATCCAGAAGACTCTGATATTCCAGGCACTTTCCAAAACACACTCCCTGCTCTGAAGAGCTCTGAAGTTGTATTTACCCAACAAAGGTCTGAAGACTGAAGTTGAAGGACCGCAGCACTTCAGAGACAGTGGGTGCTCAGGAAAACAACTTTGACTCTCTACTTCCTTCTTCTATTATTCTAGCTGTAGAGAAAAAGTAGGTTTTCACAAACAGGAGGAAGACAAAGTGTGTGTGTCGTCAGAGGTGCTAGAAAAGCCAAGACAGGTATCAAAGCAAAACAGAGAGAATATTTTCTTCCAACTGCCCCTCCTCCCCACCCAATAAAAGCAGACCTAATCATGGTTCTTCTTATATTCAGAGCATTTTGATTATATTCTGTCATACTATTGATTATTTGATCCAAATTCCTTATCATTTTTCATCACTTTTTTCCTTGTAAGATTTTTTTTTTTTATGAAGTAGTATTCAGCACCTGGAGAGAGTTCACATTCACAGCTTCAGTCCACCTTTGTAACTTCTTTTTGCATATTCTGCAGTTGATTCCAAGTCTTCTTATTCCATGAGGGATTTGATACGCAACACGCATTCCAAATAAAAAGACTTTTAAAAACTCCAGCCAACCCATTCCTGCAGTGCCTAAAAGCAGGAATTGCCCTTACAGTCAATTCTTATGTTAGAAAATGTTGCTTTGAAGTAAATCTTCACATAAAGTGTGTGCCAAGCTATTATCCAAACGATAATTGTGGTCTTCGGCCAGTATGCGTCAAACAAATACTGATGAAACTGTATCTGCTATACCTACAAATGAAACAAAAAAAAAAATTTTAATAAATACTGGGAGTGGAGACTTGCCAGAAATAATTTCCCAGAATTCACATTCATACAATGCCCTCTCTCCTCCACGCCACAACAGTAGGTGAACTGCTGGGGCTGGGGGTGGGCAGGGAATCAGCTGCAACCTTTTTATTTCTTCATTGTCTGACACTATTTATAGCTGTGCTCTACACTCCTCCTTCCTTTGCTTTCATGTTCAAAACTTTAGATCCTCAAGGATGCAGCATTGGTCCAATCTGGGTGCTGAAAAGCAATCTAGACCTTGATATCCTCTTCCCTTTTAATCATATTCATTAGCAATGGATAGACAATATGAAGCTATGTAGCTCTGAAAGCTCACCAAGAGACTAGAGATCACAAATGCCATTACAAAACACATTTTTGAATGCTGATACACACACAAACACAGAGCAAACCAGGCTTTTGTTCGTGCTCAATTCTTTTTGCATTGTTGTACTCCTTCAAGCCCGAATAGCAAAGTCTGACTACAGCCTGTAAAGGTATCAAAGGGTGATGGCTCTTATACCCTCAAAAATGGTGTCAGAGGACCTCTAAATCAGAAGAAAACATCCGTGGGGGAAACAGAACAACTACTGGCCTTCGCTGGATTGTTCTCGTGTGACACGCTACAGAAAATGTGAAAGATCCTGCTTTTTGAAAATAACACAGCTGTTCTTCCTGACCACTTCTATAATTGACTTGCTTTAATTATCACTACTTCTAAATTTCTCTTTCCAAAGAATTTGTTTATACAACAACAATAAGAACAAAAGCTTCAGCAACTTGGAAAAGTTAAGATTGGATACATTGTCCTGATCTTTTCCGAGTGCAGGCAAACTGAATGTTGTCTATTCTTATTTGCAGATGATTTACATCATCTAACACCTTTTACAATGACTGTGAGAGATGCTGTGAAACATACATGGAAGGGAAAGCCAACAGAAGACCTACAGTGTTAACGTAACACAAAAAGTCAAGGGACACACAAGACTGACTTACTATCTAATAGTCCAGTCCCAGCAATTTGGCTCAGCAATCTTTGCTGGTCAACAGGAGCTTCCCCTGCCTTACCTCCATATCCAGCAACCCAGAAGAAACTGGGTATTTAACACTACAAAACCGCCTCAAACACCAAGAAAAATCTCACGTAAATGGTAAGAAGGCAAGATGGAACTAGCAATGAAAGTATATACCTCTACCCTACCGGAAAAGCCAAAAGCAGGGTACACAGTTCCAAGGCACAGGCAGATCCATGTTTCATACTGTTTTCTGAACTGAGCACAGAGATAATTGCATCCACCAGACAAGGACAGCAGCTGTTTTACCTACACTGAGTATAGCGATGGCACTCACCTAGAACCACGATACACGACTGTACACTTTACAATGCCATTACCTCTACATGGTAAGGTACAATAGCTCTTTATTTGTTATGCCTTATATAGCTTTACCTTTGCATAGTGTTTTTCAACCATTCAACTATATGGCTTGGCTGAACTGGCAACCACTTTCTTTATTTTTCCACCTGGACTCATCTAACCTCTTTTAAAACAGAGCAATGATTTTTATTTCCTCTCTGAGGATCCCATTTATATCGCTTTACTTACATGGAGAAACATAGCCCAGCATGTGGCCTTTACCACTTTAATTATTTTTTGTCAGACTTACCACAGACATTGCCGCCTATCTTAACACGAACATAGCCATCTATTCCCCATGTAGACCCCCAAGAGTTCTGTACAATCCAGTAAGGGATACTACCTGGAAGAGACATTTTCGTAAACAAGAGACAACATGAGATGTGGAAAGCATAAAAAACTTCTAACACTCTACAGAGTTAATTACCGTTTTAACATGTCATAGTTTATGACGGTTTGACGATATAGTACAGTGAAACCTACTGCTGTTCACATAGAAGACAGTTAATCGTTCAGTGCTGAATAAAATGGATATATCCTCTACTAGCATAAAGACACATATAGTCGTGTTTGTGACTTTACAAGGACATGAAGTCCCACAGAGCTGAAGGAGCACAGACAAGAAGAGTATTTCTCCTGGGATCAGACTGTGCTTTCAGAACTGATGTGACACCAAACAGTTCTCAACACAACACCCAGATCTGGATTTTAATCACCTGCCCCACAGGAGGCAAGCTGCAAGTAAGAAAAAAACCACAAAACCTACTGGGTTGAAGTTCAGTTGATGGAAACACACCTGTTCTGTCAAAACCAGTGATTAGAACAGCATGATTTGCTCTTCCACTGGAGCAGTGATACTGTATGATCCCACCAAGATAATCCTGCCAGCTAACCGCATCCACTGTTACTGCCAAAGGGCCCCAGTTAACAAGCATCCTCATCATTTCTTCTTCCTGGCCACTGTGAAAGAAGTGAGTGATAGTGCTGAGTGACTTAAGTTAGCACACTAAAGCAATTTGAGAGGTAGTAATCTACTTGTTAAGTACATTTTAAAAATCAAATAATTCAGCTGTTTCCTATGAGTTCTACACACCATGCAACATACATCAATAAATATGGATTTCATCTGCTACAACACAGTAATAAAAATATAGGGCACATAGACTACAGGAAAGGTGCAGATCCAAAGATATGGTGCTATTAAAATGAAGCAGGTTTCTGGGTCAAGTTAGTGGGCAATGGTGAGCACTATGTACCTTTTATACATCACTCAATTAAAAACCACCTTTGGACAAACCATTAGTCTATATTATTATTTCCCATTAGCTTTTTAAACATGCAGAAGTACCTCTTATATCATACATAATAATACACTAAAGTATGTATCTCAAACATATCAAAACACAGGATATTATCACTATCAGACATTACCATGAGCATTCTCATACAGTTTTACTTATGTCATATACTGGAACGGGAAATCTTTATCACTGCATGGTATGTGCAATAACTAAATTTGGCAAATACAGACTGGCAAAGCTATAATTGATTTTAGTTACTTATATCTGGCAGTAATTCAATTCCTAGTCAAAATTATATTTCTTGTCTTGAAGTTCAGCATGCAGCTGCATGGTACTGATAAATATTAGAAAAAAACTTTCTTAGTACAGAAACCTAAAAAGCTACCAGTTGCCTTTACAAAATTCAGTTGACAGCACTGTTTGCTAAGTCATGGACGGGAGGAGGATGCGGGTGGGTATGTAGATGGATGAATACTGAAGTAACTGAATACTTCCTAAATTTTTCAACAAATTCCAATTATTGGTAGGATTTACCATTTCTGATACTTAAGCAATGTAATGTTCACTTAGCTCGTATTTAAAATTGTAACTGACTCAATGTTCCAATTTAAACACAGCCAACTAAAAAGACCTAATTTCAAGACACTGACTTAAGCTTTCTAATTTGAACAAGCTTAGTGATGGTAAGGTTGAGTGGATTCACTGTGGCAAGCCATAACCCTAAAAAATGTTACGTATTAATTCTTATCCAGTACACAGCTACAGAACTGATGCAATCAACCTCATAACCTTTGGCTGGTCAATGCACTATTGGCTCTAGCTTACTCCACAGTTAGTGAACACAGAAGGAAAAGTACAGCAAATAAAAAGAATCAATAGTAGCTACCTGAAGTCATATGCAGCAAATCCTGTTATTGAAACTCCAAAATCTGAGTGATCAAAATAATGGCACAGTCCTGTCTGAGCTTTAAAACTGTATTCTGAATCTCTCACAAGTTTTACTTTTGTCTGCAAGAAGATAAATGAATAAGAATTTAATGCATTTGACTTTAACACTATGCAGATCAAAACAGACATTGAAACTGACCACAGAACTCACTCAAAATTCAGTGTGTTCATGGTGAGATTAGAAATAGGAATGTCATGTTGGGAAATAAGATATTTACTATCTCCAGTTTCCCTGTTGGCAGAGAAAGCTGCAGAAGGGATTCAGAAGTGTTTAAATAAATGACCAAATTTAAAAGGTATCTCTGGTTTAAACAAGCCTCATGAGCAATCTCATCAATTTCAAGACAGAGACTATGCATTCATTTAATGAATGACCATATACACATACAAAAAAAAAAAAAAAATATCAGATGAGCTGTACACTCCACCTTCCCCATCACTTTTTCTCAGTAAAAAAGAATGTCAATGTGAAAGCTAAGGAACAGTTCGAGATTTATTAAAAGTTTCAAACCTGGTTCAGCCAGCTCAAAGCACTAACAGTGGATCCCCCGCTGCAGCCGTAATTATTGTATGAACAGTCAATAACCTGCTGTACGCTGAGTTCTTCCAGGTTATTTCCTTTAATTGCATAGGCAGACTCTATACCACCCACAACGCTGAAAGCCCAGCAGCCTCCACACTGGTACAAAGAGAAGGGGAAACAGGGGAGAAAAAAAAAAAAGTCAGCTTTGTTTTTGAAGCCTGATATGAAAAGAAAAAAAAGTCAAAAGGGTCTTCTAATGCTCTTCATTTACTACATCATCCTTGAACTTTGTTTTTAAGGCAATAATAAAGAAATTTAATCAGCCATTTAGAATATTGAACTGTTTTTTTCCCCTGTACTGCTCTCTGAAAGCTAGAAATGCATTATGGATGTCTTATTTTAAGGATTCCTGCATTGTGGTTGTCTTATTTAAGGATTCCCTCCTGATTAATTTTTGCCCTTTAAGATAGGTCTGAGGATGGTTTTTACTGTGAGATATCTATTTTCCTAAAGAAGGATTTGGGCTCAGGATGAAATTATTTTTTAACCACATTAGTTAGTAAGTTTTTGAAAAGGATGCACTTGAGAGAGTCTACAACTTTCTACAGTCGGACAAATTTTATAGAAATATGTGAGATTACATTTTAAGAAACAGTAAACTGAAATTAAACGTAATAGAAAAATTCTTAGACAGTAACAGAATCTGTACTGCAGTTCTAGGCTCTTTAAACTGTGGCATTTAAAATAGGAAGCAGAATTTATTCTTTAGGCAAGGTCCAGGCTACACTATGTGAAGCACAGAAAGGAAAGACATTGGGGATTTAACAGCTTGTTTGTTTCTTACCAGTGATCATAACCACTTTGGGATAAACTCTAATCGTGTGGGGTCTGGTTATCTTCCTATCATGAATGCAACCCCTGAGGTGTTCAACAGTAAAGATACGGGTCTTGACCAGCCAAGGGCATGCAATTGTGAGAGAAAACAGCAGCAAAGGATCTATACCCACCCAGGTGAAATGGAGGAATGAGGTCAGGTACTGAACTTACCTCAGTCTCTTCAGAAAAATGCAAAACACACATGGTGCGAAATATTTGCAGATTTAGTTACTAGATCAAAAAAATGTATTACACACAGTTTATAACTGCACAATTTCTAAATGCACAACTTTTACATCTCATGCTTTTAAGTCTAATCCCACTTTGCATAAAATGCTGCGTGATTTTGTGTATGTTCAACCGGCCATACTTGTGCCAGCACTCCAAGGAATCTTGAGGCAGTGCTGGTCCCTTCCAAAACCTTCAGTGCGCTCTATGATGCACCTGCTGGAACTGACTCTGAGCACTGCTTGAGAACCAGGAAAGGAAAACACCAGGACTTACTGTTTGCTGATTTCTCACTTCTGCAATGACTTTCTTGTCCCTCCAGTCAAACTTCTTTGGCAAAGGTTTTTCCTTTCCCTTTGGCACTTTTATGTATCTGGGAAGTTTGTGAGGTATGCTTCTTAAGTAAATAGCTAAACACAGAATACAAACATCTATAAATCTACTAACTAAAAAAACCCCACAAACAACTGTTTTACTAGAAGCCATAGAGGTAACTTTGATCTGTAGTTACAATCATGAGATTACATCTCATTCTCAAATTCATAGAAAATTCTTGTATTTTAAAATAATCATTATACTCCAGAATGAATGTAAATATTCCTACAGTTCTAGAAAGAACAGAAATATTCCATGTAGGCAATGTGGGTACAAAGCATGAAGATTTACTAAAGCTGATCAATAACCATTCCATAAAACAAGTTTCGTTTGAAAATTTTCACAACATTTTACTTACTGGAAAAATATTACTTTATTTTAATCAGGTAAACAGGGAAAAATAAGAGCAGAATAATGCAAAAATTCTGAAACACAGGCAACTTGCTAGTTTTTCACTAAAAAAAAGCTGCTTAATTATTTAAAATTAAAAAAGGTGTGAAATCCCCCAATGAATAGCAGATATAACAGCAGACTTCAACAGCAAGAAAGGAAGATTAGGTTAGGTATCAGGCATATTTTCTTAGTAAAAAAAATTAAGTGCATCATATTGCTCCTGAAAGTCATAGCTCTCATTGTACAGCCGTGGACCTTCAAGCATTGTTTGGATTGTAGTCAATTTTGTCTTAGGGTAGGGAGTAGGAAATTAGACTACTTAAGAACCTTGTGTATTTTCCAATTTTACAACGTTGCCAATGTTACAACAGTTTTCCAATGTTGCAACTGAAGAGGGCTTTAAGGGTCAGTGAGGAGAAAGAGGGAAAGGAAGGAAAGGAAGGAAAGGAAGGAAAGGAAGGAAAGGAAGGAAAGGAAGGAAAGGAAGGAAAGGAAGGAAAGCAAGGAAAGCAAGGAAAGCAAGGAAAGGAAGGAAAGGAAGGAAAGGAAGGAAAGGAAGGAAAGCAAGGAAAGCAAGGAAAGCAAGGAAAGCAAGGAAAGCAAGGAAAGCAAGGAAAGCAAGGAAAGCAAGGAAAGCAAGGAAAGCAAGGAAAGGTCTGTATACTAAATCATATTCAGGCTCTGGGCAATTCAACCTTGCAAGACTAGAGAAACATGAAGAGGATTGTTGTATCCTTCAGAAGTACTTACAGTTTGGTACCACACATTGTAAACTAGCTGACTATCAGCACTGGAAGAATCTGTAAATGTGAAAGACACAAGGTTCTGGGAAAGATTAAGAAAAATAACAGAAAAGACATTAGCAACAGCCAGAAAATGTACCTTTGAACTCTTCAGGAAACAGGTGAGAAAACTGATTTATTCCATAGAAAGCAGTCGTATTATCTTTTGATGATGAATTCAGTAATCTAATTCTTTTAGTGCTTTCCTGAAGGAAAAAAAAAAAAAAATATTGTAGACATTATTAAGTTAGCAGTAGTGACAAAACCATAAGGGCAGAAAAAGAAAAGGTTAGCAATAGTAAACATGAACTCAGATGACAAGATAGCTGTTCACCTCCGATGCACCTCAGATTCATCGTGGATTCCTATCAAACCAATCTGAAAGCCATTAGACTAATTTCAACTCCAAAAAAGGTACCAAAAAAGCATTTAAGTGCATAGAGGGTAAAAAACTGATATGAGACAGACAAAACAGGCAAGCTGAGAACAAATTGTGTCGAACTCATCTGATGCCCTTCTTTGACAGCACAACAAACCTTGTGGTTCAGAGATACGTAAAAATGTTTTCAGATAAGAGTTAGCCCTGTCTTGCTTTATGTCCTTATAAAGCAAAAGAACAGTATAATGGCCTAAAGACATTAAAACCCATAAACTTTAAATGATCCGGAATCCTAGACCTCTGAAAAACGTGGTTTTGACCTACGAAAGCAAGACAATCTGACACCCCCCTCCCCAACTTCTTCTGCCGACAAAGTTCAACAGGAAACAATAAAAAACTTAACGCCACCTTCTGCGTTTAGGAGGACTGCCCCACACCCCTCGGCAGGCGCGGCCCGCCGGCGCAGGCTGGGTTGTCACGCAGGG